TATGATTTTTTATATTAAATTTAATCTTCATTTAATTTATTTGTTATTTTATTTATTCATTTATTTTATATTTATGTTTAATACTTTTTTTCCGTTAAGTCAACATCATTTTTATTTAGTATAAAATTTGTTCGTGTTTTATTCATTTCTTATTTTACTTTTTAATTTTTTTTAATTTTTTACTGTTTATTTTATTATTTACATTAATTGAGTTAATTTAATATACAAACTCTCTTTGTTTTTGTTTATTATGAATGTATTCCAGTATTCAGTGTTAGTACTAAGTTATTTATTCTTTATTCTAATTCATTTATACTTTTTAAAAGTGTTTAATAATACTAAATATTTAATGAATCAAATTATGTTGTATATATCTCAATTTATTTATTATTTAATTGTATTTCTTTTTATGTCAACACCTTTATTGTGCTATTGTTATTGATAGGTGTTAGTCATGGTATTTTAAAACTATCTTTAATTAATAATTAAATCGTTTCCAAGTTTATATTTCATATTATTTTTAATAAATGAGTAGAAATATTGTGTCATTTATTTCCTGATTTATAAAATAATTTATCTTTCATTTATTATAATTATTTCTAACAACTTATTTTGAATTACATTCATTATTTCAATAACACCTATGGATAAACTTCACGTTCATCATTGTTTTATGACAAAAATATGATTTATTTTTTATTTATACATCTTTTTAATTTACTGTATCATATCTGTTTAATTATATAATGAATTAGTGGTCTCATTCTGAATAATATGTCAATTATTAAATAAAATAATGTCTAATATTTCATTCATCTTCTACCAAGAATAACACTAGAAATGGTATTGTTTTTGATTACCTTCTGTTTCTTGATTGGTTCATCATTTCTCTATGCAAAATATACTAAAAATAATATATACTATAAAGACAGACAAACAACATGAACCTTCGAGGACATAAAGAGGATGAACATTAATACCAGTAAATGACATAACAAGAATAGTAAAAGAATTACCAATGAAAAGGGTTTTAGGAAAGAAGAGTGTGAAATGAAAAATGAAAATGAAAAAGAAATTAAACAATAAAATAGAGAAATAGAAATATGGAATAAGAAGAAATAGATATAAAGAAACAATCATAATAAATAATCAATGAGAAAAAAAAACACAATAAAAAAGGAATAGAATAATAAATAAAGTGCATAATTTGAATTAATTAGTTAAATATAATAGAGGTTATTAGAAACAGATTCTATTAATAGTTAATTAATTGCTTTTTATTAAACATAATAGAGATTATTTGAAGAAAAGAAATTATGAAATAGAATAAAAAAAAATATAATATGATAAAATAATTTTAAAAATAATTTTAATAATGAGTTAGTGAATGCAGAATAAATTAAATTAATAAATGAATTAATAAATGAAAGTGGTAACACTAAAGAATTTAAAAATATTGTAACAAAGAATGATGTTATAGAATATTATTTACACCAAAATCAAATACAACCAATTTAATTAATTATAACAGTGATAGATTAATCTTTACAGAGTAATAAGCATTAGACAGTGATTTTATTAATACCTATTTAACTAATTTTTATTTCTTCTTTGACTGATTCTCTTTATTTTTTCATAAATTTAATTGCATCTAAGAATAAATAAAATTAAATTAATCTAATCTACTTTTAAAATAAATAACAAAAATATTAATAACAAAAAATGTAATAAAAATGAAAAAATAAACTAATAAATAACAAAATCTTATAATAAATAAAGCTTGGTCTCTACAAACTTTGATTATTGAAGTATTACTTTTATAACAAAATTTTAATAAAAAGTAATAAAAATTACAACAAAACATGAAACTATAATTATTTTTTGTCATTTATTTTATTATGAATTATTCTTGACTTTGCTAACATATTATTAAATAACATAATACTCTAATAACTCTTGTGTAAATAAATGAATATCATCACAACTACTCCCACATACAACTAAAACATCACTCAACAAATCATAATGCATTGATGTTACATCACCAACTTGAAGATCAAATGTTTGTTTATAACTAAAACCAAAATCAAATTTTTGTATTCTAACTTTTCCTTCAGAGACATATATCTCTTGTCTTCTATGGTCAACAGCAAGAAGAATAGGGTGGTTAAACTTTCCTCTTCTCTCTTCTCCGATACCACCACCTTTTACTTGAATAATATACCCTTGATTATTTGTTATTACAATTCTATTATTTCCTGTATCAGCAATAACAAACATAACTTGATTTCCTATTGTAATAGCCTTAATGTCAGTTGGTTGATTAAAATCAACTCCTATCGCCTTTATAAATGTTCCGTCATGAGCAAATATTGCAATTCTATCATTCCCTGTATCAGTAACATATAATAATTGTTCTTTCTGTACATAGACACATGAGCTCGGTGCTTTTAATGCACTTTTACCTTCTTTTTGATATGACCTTACATACCTTCCTTTTATAAATAGTTGAACTCTATTATTCCCCTTATCCACTACCCAAACCCACTCTTCTTTACCAACAACCCCAATTGTAATTCCAATAGGATTTTTAAATTGTCCTCTTCCATTTCCTCGTCCACCAAATATCATAAATTCATTTCCAATAATTTTAACACAACTATTCCCACTATCTACTATTGCATACCCACCATTAATACTACAAAGATATGTAATATGAACGTGACATTTATCACTTGTGGCATTTGATGAAATGACTTGTAATGGCGGTGCAATACGAACACGAATAGGAGAATTATCTGTTTCTATTCCTTTGCAAGTTGTTTTTATTAAAACATCTCCTTCTTGTTCTCCATGTAAAACTATTCCATCTTCATTTACACTAATAGTAAGAATTCCTCCTTCTGTTAGAGACTTTTCTATTTGAAGAGTTGATAATGAATATTTTAAATGACCTGTAGAAGGTGGATGTGGTATAGGTCTTGTAGGATATATTTGAATTTGAACATGATGTAATAAATTTGCACATAATTCGTTTAATGAAATTGTTTTTGTTGTGTTAATAGGTAATATAATGGTTGAAATTTTCTCAATTTTTTGTAAAAATGAACTCTGTGGATAATTAATACTCCTCAAACATGAAATAATTTCTTTTGAATCATCAATTCTTGTTAATGAATTAATTTTTGTCAAACAATTTGAAAGTTTTCTTAAGTTTTGATACAACTCCGGTAATGTTGGATCTTTCATGTAATGAGCATAAAACAATGACAATGGTGTTATGCTATGTTTACGATGAATATCTCTTTGACATACTGAACAAATAACACATTGACATGTATAACAATACATCTCTGCTGATTTCATATGAACCAAACAAAATTTTCCAGGTTTAAAGACTTCTACTGAATGTTTTCGTTTAACGTGTAAAGAAGAATGGTCAGTACAAAATTTTACTTGACAATTAAAGCAATATCCTAGTGCTTTATTTTCACACTCTTTTTCATCTGTACATTGTGCAAATTCAAATGCTTTTTTAATTCGTTTATAAGGAGTTGGTAGTATTTCTGGTGATCCAAAAGGTAACTGAATAAACTTATGACACTGAGGACAATATAACTCAGACTCTTCTTCAGGGTATTCGTTATGTGATTTTTGGGATTGTATTAATGACACTATACAATCTCTACAGATTACATGAGTACAAGGCAATACCTTTGGAATACTTGGAACAGAAAAGTGTCCATCACAAAACTCACAACGACAGACATCTATTCTGGAACGAGAACACATCTTTGTAATTATTCTTGACTCTTTTTTTAGTTTCTTTTTTGGGTTTTTCCTTTTTTTATAATATAACTTCTTCATCTGTAATCAATGAACAGACATCTTTGTAGACGAACAGGCAATTTTATGTAAAGGTGTTGGTGTTACTAATTTAATAAAATGGAGAAAAATGAAAATAATTCATTGCAAACAATTAAACAAAGTTTGTTACTTAATAACTTATTCATCTTTATGAAATCTAATAAACAGAAAGAAAGAGAAAAGTGTTACATAGAAACATTATCAAAAATGAATTGCAAAATTTGAGAGAAATGCTCGATATGTATCAAAACAAAATTACTTCTTCATCATTAAAAGAGAAAACACAAGAAAAAACCACCCCTAAAGAAGATACATATTCCTATAATGATGTGTATACATTGTTGAAAGAAATTCAGCACCAAAAACGGGAACTTATTGTATCTCAATCAATACTAGCTCAATATAATAAAGAAGTATGGCACTCAGAGTTAAAAATTCTTAGAACAAAAAACTATAAAGAATTAAATAAATAAAAACAACAATAAATAAATTTTAAAAGTTTATAAATTTATCCAAAAAAAAAAGGAAAAACATTAGAACAAAATAATCTTAAAAAATTAATGGTTGAAAACAGTGAAATTAATCATATTACAAGAGGTGTTTCTATTCATATATTTGAACCAGCCGATATCTCTGAAGAAACAAAACACACTCAAAAAAGAACTCGAACACGAGGAAATTCATTCTATGGAAGAGAGCGACCTGTTTTCAATGGAAATAAACAATGCCTTCATGCCAACAGTTGTACTTTACCAAATAAGAGTTGGTCAATATTTATTCCAAAAGGTACAATTGGCAAACAAATTTCAGGAGAGCCTTATAACTTTGTTTGTTTGAAAAATTTTACTAAAAAATTTGACGTATTAATGGCATTAGGAATATACATTCTCTAAATCATATGATATAGGTGTTTCTCTCACTATTGGTAAGAGAAATTATATGGAAGATGAAGTACTTATTGCAGGAAATGTAAAAGAAGGAATAGATCTAATTGGTATTTTTGATGGACATAATGGTTCTGATGCAGCAAAATTAGCTGCGAAATTATTTAAAGAAGAAATAAAACATTTAGAAGAATTTGATTGGATAGCCCTTTTTGAACGAGTTCACTCAACCATTATCAAATCAACAGAATCAGGGACTACAGCAACACTAGCCCTAATTTATAAGAATAAAATTACATTAATCCATTGTGGTGACTCAACAGCCTTTGCATTAAAAAAAAGAAAATTAAAAAAATTAACACACGACCAAAACACTTCTTGTTTAGAAGAGGTCTCGTCTATTAAAAAAAATGGTGGGGTTGTTGAATTTAATGGTGGTATTCTTCGAGTAAATGGACAGATTTCAGTTACAAGATCATTGGGTGATAAAAAATTCCATCCACCATTAACGTGTATTCCTGAAGTGATTGAATTAGAAAGTGATGGTATCACTTCCTTAATCTTAACATCTGATGGAATATCATCAGTACTTCAGTTTGTTTTTCTTCACTTAACCTTTTTTTTAAGAAAATATAATATATTCATATACTAGACCTGATGAAATAGAAGCAGTAATGAATTCTGAAATGAATGCTGAAGAAAAGTCATCAACTTTAAGAAATCAATCCTTCATAAGAGAAGGAAAAGATAATATGAGTGTCATAGTAATCTCTTTTAATTGAAAATGTATTTTTATAAATTTAAGTTAAAGTAAAAAAAGAAAAGATATAATATTAAAAAAGAATATCTTTATTTGAATTATTCTTTCTTTTCTTCAGTGACAGCTGGGGTTTCAGCCTCTTCTTTCTTTTCCTCTTTAACTTCTTCTTCCTTCTTTTCTTCAGTGGTAGCTGGGGCAGCAAATTGTTTAGTAATTTCTTCAATTTGAGCTTGGGCAGCTTTATTGAATTGTTCTTCAGTCATTTCTTCAACTTTATTAGCACCAGTAACAAAGAAGACTCCACCTTCACTAGTGCACATAATCTTTGGACTTTTCCAGTTAGTAATTTTATATTGTCCATCTTTCTTTTGAATCATTTCACATTCATCAATTCCTCCAATGTGTTGACCTTTCAATGTTTTGATAGCAGCCTCGAGTTTCTTAGTTTCAGCAGCGGCTCCTTTATGTTCAACTTTTCCTTTCATTCTTGGGGCTGATTTGCCAACTTGAGTATTAGCTGTGACAGTAACAGTTTTACCATTGACAGTAATCTTTTTAGAAGCACCTGAAGTTGGGGCATAGGCGGTATTTAAAACTGCTTGTCTACTTGTCTTATTAGTCTTTGGCATTGATAAACCAATTTAATAGTTTGTTAGGTTTTGTTTTATTTAATTTTAATTTTTTTTACTATTATTTATCATTCATTTATTTTGGGTTTCATTTATAGTTATTTTGTAATATTTATTAATAATATTATAGCTTTATTATATCCTCATTCCTGCATTGATAGAAAACGAGAATGGTAACTTATGATAATACCTAATAACTCAAATAAAACGGTATAACACATAACAAAAATTATGGTCCATTTGTGCTATAGATAATGAATATATATATGTACTATGTTGTAACAATTATATTATTTATGTTAAAGAAAAATAAAAAAAATTATCATAAAAATAAATAGGGTTTTGTGGAACAAAAAAAGAATTGAAAAGATTGTGTTGAATGAAAAGAACATCACAAGATAATAAGATGAAGAAATCAGATACAACCCAAGACATGGTTGAAGATATCAAAAATGTTGAAACGACAGAAGAATTAAAAGAGAATCTTCCAACAGAGAATACTAAAAATAACAATAATAATGAAGGAGAAGAACACAAATCAGATGAAAACGTAAAAGAAGAAGAAAAACATAAACGCGAAGAAAGTGTAAAAGAAGAAGTAAAAGAAGAATCTGCTGAAGAGCTTTTTCCATCTGAAGATGAAGATATTAAAGATGAGTTTAGTGATGAAGAAACTCCATTCGAACAAAGTGCAAAGAAAACTAATTTAAAGGAAGCAAAAATAAAAGCAGAAGCAGCAGAAGAAATGCAAACGAATATCGCTGCTGAACAAAGACATACACTCCCAAGTGGACAAGAAATTATTCATGCACAAGAGATTGGTGATGTTGCTACTATTGGAACTCGAATTAGAGAAATTGTTGCTGTTTTATGTGATTTTAAAGCTCGACACGAAGAAGGAAGAAGTCGTCAAGAATACATTGCGTTATTAATTCAAGACATGCAAACATATTATTCATGCAATGAATTTTTAGCAAAATTAGTCGTCGATTTATTTGGACCAAAAGGGGCAGTTGATTTCATGGAAGCAAATGAAGCACCAAGACCAGTTACTATTCGTGTAAATACATTAAAGTCAAGAAGAAGAGAACTTGCCCAAAAATTAATTAATAGAGGTGTTAATGTTGATATGATTGAATGGAGTAAATCTGGGTTAGTTGTTTATGACTCTCAAGTCCCTATTGGTGCCACCCCAGAGTATTTGGCTGGTCAGTACATTTTACAAAGTTCATCATCTTGGGTTTCTGTTATTGCTTTAGCACCACAACCAAATGAAAAAATTTTGGATATGTGTGCTGCCCCAGGAGGTAAAACAACTCATATAGCTGCACTAATGAAAGACACTGGTATTCTTGTTGCAAACGATATTAGTAAAGATCGTCTTAAGGCAGTTATTGGTAATGTTCATCGTTTAGGAATTACAAATACCATAATTACAAATTATGATGGACATGAATTCCCTAAGGTAATGGGTCAATTTGACCGTGTTTTAGTTGATGCACCTTGTACTGGTTTGGGTATTATTTCACGTGATGCTGCTGTTAAGTTAAGTAAGAGTGAACAAGATATTAAAGATTGTACAAGAATACAAAAAGAATTAATTTTACATGCCATTGACTCAGTAAATCCAAAGAGCAAGACTGGTGGGTATGTAGTTTATTCTACTTGTTCTATTACTGTAGAAGAGAACGAAGCGGTAATTGATTACGCTTTAAAGAAAAGAAATGTTAAAGTAGTTCCTATTGCTTTGCAAGATGGTGTTGGAGAAGATGGGTATGTTAACCATAGACAATACCGTTTCCATCCATCAGTAAAAATGGCAAAAAGATTCTTCCCACACATCCAAAATATGGACGGTTTCTTCGTTTGCAAATTAAAAGTGAATGTTACTCATTAAAAGTTTGATTGATTATCGATTTTTATTTAATTTTCTCTTTTTTAATAAAACTGAAGAAATAAATTAAAGAAGAAAATAAATTAAATTATTAATTCAAATACTTCTGTAAAGAATCAGCTCCCAAGTGCTTTTGAACTATTTGAGCAAATTCTTTTGCTGCTTCAACAACTTCTTGATTGGTATCTTCCATAAGATCTGTAAGGTATGGAAGAGTTTCTGGAAGTAAGTAAACAATATCAGCAGCAATAGTATCCCACAAATGAATCATACAATGTAATGCTGCTAAACGGACAATTGAGTCTGTGTGTTGAGTCTGAATTAATAACTGATGATTTAAAGGCTTCCAACAGACTTGGTTAGGAACGCATAATGCAAATTGGCATAAACAAGGTGATAATCTTTTAGTAATAAAATCAAAGTAATCATCTTCTTCTTTATAACAATTATGCATTAAATCAATCAAATTAACTGTTGGTAATAATTGCTCAACCTTTTGAGAATCAACAAAGTTAGAATTATCATTTTGGAATAATGTTTGTAATAATTCAATATTTAAATAAATAGAGTCTAATAGTACAATAGCATTATCTCCTTTTTTAATGTTATTTGCTGAACGTTTACCTAATGTTGATCTTTCTGGAACAAGAGCATTTGCAAGACTTAAAGGTAGTTGATTTAAAATAGTTAATATACTTTTAAGAACAAAAGCATAATAAGGGACAAATAGAGATTTTAATGTTTTTGAGAATGATAAGATAATTTTTGTGTAGATGTAAATCGAAGGTATTTCACTTGTTCCAACTACTTCATTAAATCCTTCTGCACATTTCAAGAAGAATGGTTTAAATGTATCGTCTGATAGTTTTAATACTAATGAATTAAATACTCCAATTAATTCATCATTACAATGTTTCATATTTAATGGACTAGAAATCTTTGGTACTGTTTTTAATGCTTCAAATAAGAACTGATATAATTTAACTCTCATTTGAGAGATCGACGTTTGGTTTTCATTTAAGCTCTTTGATAATAATCCAAACAAAGCAGCAAGGGAAGTATCATTTTGTAATTTTTTGTTCTTAAAATTAGAAGAGACTAATGACATAACTAATCTAAATTCTATTGAAGATCCAACAACTCCCATAAATTCCATAATAAATGGATAAACAATTGGATTTGAAGTGTACTCTGAATCTAATATTAATGGAATAAAAGAGTTAATATATGGGTGTACAATATTTCCATATGACTTAGTGAAACTCATCATACAAGATATTACTGAGTTAATTAAACTATTAACACTATCTTCATCTCCACCATGTGGCAATAAATCAAAGAACATTGGAATTAATTGTGGTAATTGTGGCATTAATGATGTTTTTAATTCAGCAGCATATATACTAAGACATAATAAAGCAGAAGCAACAATCTTAATATTTTTGAGAGTGTTTTTGATTTGAATACATTTTAATACATAATTTAATAAGTCCATAAATATAGAAGTATGTTGTGCTCCATAAAATCTTAATAAAATTTCTAATAACAAAACTCCTGTTTGAATAGTTGCTTGTTCTGCATCATTATCTACACTACTTGGATTTAATTTATCTACATTTTCAAGAATTTTAATAACAACATGAATAAGTCCATTTTCAGCATTTAAGAAACTTGCTTCATACATACTCATTTCTTCTGGTGTTAGTGCAGTTAGTTTTTGATTTAAAATAAGTAATGCTGTTCTTTTAACACGAATACTTGATTGTTTTAACAAGAAAACCACAGCCCTAATGAGTGTAGTTATACTAAACAAATCAGAGATATTATCTACCATATCATGTAATTTATCTGCAAAAATAGTATTAGAATCATTTTCATCAGTACAATCAAATTTATTTAACATTTCAATAACTTGTTTGAAAAGAATAGTATAACTTTGTTGAATATTAACATCTTCAGTAGTTTTCATACACTTAGCAATAAACTCTCTTTTGGTAATTTGTCCATTTACAAAATCAATACATAAATGAGCCACTTCTTTTTTCTTTGTTATTTTTAGTTGATATCCAGCAAATACACCTTCTCTATTATCTTGTAATAATTGACAAGAATCTTCGATAATACAAGCAAGTAATTTAATTACTTTGTCATTATTTAATTCTCTGAAAACATCATAAACAAATGGTAAAACATTATCTGCTTCATTTTCTATTAATAACACTATTACTCCAGAAAGATGTTCTTCTGATAATTTACTTTCTTTAAACAATTGCAAAAAGATTTCCCTTCTTCTGTGATATGGTAATTGATTATAATTATCAACTATCATTGATAGTAATTCTACAATTGATGTTGCTGGAAGTCCTTGTGCTGAACTAATAGAAGATATTACATGTGGGATTAATTTTTGTACAACAATTCCTACAATTTCTTCTTTAGATAAAGCTCTGACAAATCTATCTGAATGTTCAACAAATAGTGTTGGGAATAATGCAATCATTTGTGATAGTACTGTGATAGCTCCATTATAAATAGCTGGAGTCATTCCAAATGTTTCAATAACTTCATAAATAACATCTATAACAGTTAAAACTTGAATACTTGATGCGAGATCTTCAGTCATTTTTTTAATTTTATTTTGGAATGTATCATGCTTTGATCTTACAATAATAACTCCTTTTTTTCTTGGTTGTTCAATGGGTTTAGCTGTAGAAATAAATGTGAGGTATTTTGAAACAAATCCAACTGTATATATTAAACTATTCATTTCAATATTAATAAGATAATCTGTATGATAACACTGTGGTAATTTAATAGTAATTTGTATTAATTGAGAAATATTTTTAATGCTTTCACTAAATGTTTTATTAAATTCATTATCTTCAAAGTTAATATTATTCAATGACCCTTTGTGCACTTTGAAAAATGATTCAAAAACAAATACCATAAATTGTAATTCATTCATAATGACTTTATCTTCTTTTCCTTGGTTATCATTTTCAATAATTTCTTCTTCCATTTTTTTTTCATTGTTTTCATTTATTGATGTTGTTTCAATAACAATAGATGGCACTTTCTTTAATTGTTTATTTTGAATTGGTTCTTTTGTATTAATCATTGTTATAATTTTCATAACAATTTTATTGACTAAATCAAATGGAGTTATTTTAAGCATTCTATTTAATTTATTAATAACTTGAGACCTTTTATCTTTATGTTCGACAGCTAAGATTCTAAGGAGTTCTTCCTGATGAATATCATCCATCATTCCCCACATCTCTTCATTCATTAATGAACAAATCAATACTACATTTTCTCCATTACTCATTTGAATAATTTCTTTAAACGTATCAAATAATTGTTTATTTCCAACAAATGCTCCAACATATTTAATTTGTACAATTGATTTTATTACTTCACTTAATACTTTTTGTTCAAAGTGACTATCATATAATTCATCAGAATCATTTAACATTTTCATAATTCCAACAATATTATCAACACTTCTCATTCCAAATGACATTAACACATTCATTTTTTCTTGTGATGGTAATAAATGGTCTTTGTTAATTACATCAATAACATGATCAACAAATAATCCTCTATGTTTTTCATTAATTTTATTCAAATAAACATTATTAAATGTAGTAATAAAATTACTTGATGATGTTAACTCAATTTTTGATTGTTGTACAGCAGTGATATAATTCAAATAATATTCAAATTTTAATGTTTTGTTTCCACTAATTATAATATTATTTTCTTTATATCCTTTTGCAAGTTTACCGATTTCATTTAAACAATCAAATCCATACATTCTTTCTTTTGAACTTTCTTTCATTAATTCTTTAATAACATAAATAAAGTGTTGTTGAATAATAACTGTTTTTTCTTTTTCTGATAAATTAGATTTAATTGTATTTAAAAATGAAATGTAGTGAGTAGTTCCAATTAATCCTTTAAGAGTTTCTTCTTTAGTTTTTTCACTTTTGTTATAAGAATTTAAGGCAATATTAAATGGTAATAATTTAAGATATTCAATATATTGGAAACAATCTCCTTGAACTAATTCAACGAATAAACTTATAATACATGAACTGTAATTACTTTGTTCTTTAAGAGAGTCGATGAGTATATTAGTTAACATTTCATTATATGATATATTATTTTTATACCCAAGATTTTTAAATTGTATTGTATCAAATAATAAAACTAGTATTTCAATCATTGATGTTTTAATTCTAATTGTAGGATTTTGTCTGTATAAAGATAATAATACTGACAATAAAAATTCACAACTCTTTTTACCACATTCTAATTCTTTTAATTTAGTTACTTCCATATATTGACCAAAAATAATTATGATAGTATTATATAATGAATTTAATTCACTAAAAGTAATATCAGTTTTAGAAAGTGTTGATTCTAATTTACTTCCAATTGATTCATAAATATCTTTTAAAATAAATAATTCCTCTAAATTTGAAAAATATTTAAGATATAAATCAAGAATATATAATGTTTGTAAAACATTATCTCTTTCAGGAATAAATGTACCATATAACTC